GGGATGTGGGTGGAGGGAGAGGGGCTTGCGCGGTGCATGCCGTGGGCATCCGTGCAGCAGGGGCTCAGGATACGTAGGCAGGAGCGAAGTGGGAGCTTGTGTCGCACAGGCTGTGGGTGGAGAGACCAGCGACTCCTGGTGTCCTCCGGGCCATAGCGTTCTCTTGCCTACGTGGTACAGGCCGGTGTGCCTGACAAGTGGGAGGAGAACACACGTCTTTCCTCTTGCCTGTGATGACAAAGCCGGCGTCATGCCTCACTGAGGAATGAGACGGGGTCTGAAGAAGGAATGCATCGGGTGACCTTCAGGTGGCTCTCCAGATACTGAGCTGTGGAGGAGTTACTGTATTTGTGACATTTGATCCAAACGCTTCTGTGGAAGTTTCTCGGGCCATCTGTTCTTTAGATAGCCACATGCATGCTTCCAAATGGCTCCAGTGTAAAGCAGCTGCCCACACTATCATTGTGGTGCAGCAGGCTGGGAGGCTGTGGTGAGTGGTTGGATGTGTGAGAGGAGGTCGCTTTTTAACTCGTGAGTTAAAAAACACTAATTACATAGCTTTGCTTCTGTGTGGAATCGTTGCCCCCAAGAATTTCTGACCTTTTTTCGTGCCTTGCCTTATGGGTGTAGCATGCGTGACTACTCACCCTTCCTGTGAAGAGGTTGTAATGTTTACCTCAGTGTGTAATATACAAAGATGCAACCATATTCTGTCCTGATGTTTAAATTCTAAATCTCTACTTTATGTTGTAAATTCTATATACTTGGATTTGTTGTAAGGAATTCTAATTTTAGAAGTTACTACTTACAGATGTCCAGGGTAAAACTTAAGACAATACCGTTGGACACTTTTCAGTTGAGTAGCTGAAATAGTATGTATTTATTTATTTATTTTTGGATATCATATAAAAAGAAACAACTTTTCATTGTTGATAATGTGGGGGTATGTGGAGTGTCCTATGCCTGTGGAGGTCAGAAGTCAGTATCGAACCTGCCTCTCTCTCCCTATGCTAGGCTTATAGGTCACACCCCACACCAGCTTTTTTAGATGGGTTCTGGAGCTCCAAACTCAGGTTCTTGCACTTGCAATAGCAAGCATTTTATTTACCCACCACACCATCTCTTCAGCTCCAAAAACCTCATCTTAATCACAGCTCACTCCATGTGTTCACTTCCATGTGTAACACGGTACTTGTATTTGTTCTATTAATTGCTGATCCTTGTAATGTGTCTTGCCTTAGGGACTCAGTGTGGCCCCTGAGAACTCGCCCTTCCTGGATCCAAATCACTTTCATTTACAAGTCCCCTACCCTGCCCCTTGGCTTTTGCAGGCCAGGTTCACACAACCTTTGTCTGGAAAAGAATGGGGTAGTAGGGTTGTGGGGGTGTTTGGGGAGTTTGGATTCCACTCTTCAAGTGCTACTGTGATCCATCGACTGGGAGTCTGTGTGGACCTTGGAGTGGGCATGTTCCTTGAGAAACCGAGTCTCCTGTATTTTGAAGACAGATAAGCCTTGTGTCCACTTCAGAGTTGCCATCTCTAACTGTGTGCTCATAGGGACACCAGGGCTGCAGTATGGTTTCACTGGAGCCATGGTTACAGTCCCCAGGCATCTGACCCTGATGACATTCAAAATCCCTGGTGACGTACCTCCGTAGAAATACGGTGCACCCTCCCTGGTGATGTACCTCCGTGGAAATACGGTGCACCCTCCCTGGTGATGTACCTCCGTAGAATATACGGTGCACCCTCCCTGGTGATGTACCTCTGTGGAAATACGGTGCACCCTCCCTCCCATGCTTGTTTCAAAGGGCAAGGCAAAAGTGGTGCTCAACTGTGGTCCCAGAGTGTAGGAGACCAGGGCAGGAGGATAGCCTGGGATATATTGAGAAGACCCTGGATCAGAAAGGCAAAGGAGACCAGGCCGTGCTGGTGCATGCCTTTAACCCCAGAACTTGGGAAGCAGAGGCAGGCAGATCTCCAGGTGTGAGGCCAGCCTGATCTTCACAGAGAAACCCTGTCTCGGAGGGAAAAAAAAATTAAAAAGACAAAGGAAGCAGGCAGTAAGCAGAGTGGATGATTGAATGAATGAAGAGAAAAGTGGTCCTGAATTGAGTTCACTGGTGTTTAAGGAGTGAACACTAAGATATGTGTGTTTATTCACTTTTCAAATAATGCAAATGAAACTGTGTTTCACCTTCCATGACCGGTTTTGGAGGCTTCAATGTGCATTTTCACTGTTGTGTACATTAAACACATGCATTGTCATTACATTGGAGGATTATTTAATGGCTTGTCAGAAGAGAACATAAGTAATTTTGTTACTAACCTGAATACCTTCACTCTGGGGGAAAATGAGTAATATTGGTTGAAATTGACACTATTATTACTTACAGAGAGTCAGAAGAAATGCCAAATTTACTGTGGGTTGTAGTTTGGTCTTTGTAGCTTTGTGTAGTCAGTATGTTTGTTGGAAATGTTTCTGTATTGCACATTTCCCAGCATGCCTCAGAGAATTCGGTAAACCGTGATTTGTGGGAAGGAATAAATTGGGAGGTAGCGTGACAAGTGATGCATACCAAGTGACCACTTTAACAGAAACCCCAAAAGGTTACTCCAGACTGTGTTATCACGAGAGTCCCCACAGCTGAGACGCAACATCCGAAGAGACGCCCCGAGGTGTTGCGTAACTGCCTTGCTCTCCACACCCTGATGAGTGTAGGTTGGGGTACACTCAAGAACCATTTTCCCCCTGTAGGAGCTTCGTCCTCCGGCTGCTCATACCGCACTGAAGTGTAAGTGCCTGCTTCTGCAGCCTGCTACAGGCCTAACCACAGCCAGACACACAGCCTGCGCCGGATGCTCATCTTGGCGGCGTTTGTCGCCATCACTGTCAGCGCCGGCTGGGTACTTGGCTTTCATCATTTGGCTAGAGCCGAGCTCCCTTTCAGTTTGAAACTAATGTCTCCCCAGCAAAACAACGAGAACACATATAGATGGTTCACTGGGTTTTCGCTAAACTATATTAACGTTCACAATTCATTGAGTTGCCTTTTAGCTATCCCTGCCCCTTGATGATCACGTGCTGCGTCCTTGGAATATCAGTAGTTGAGGTAGAGGGGAGGGGGAAGCCTTAATCCACACACCATTTATGGCTGATCTTGAACAGATCTATTTGTTTTGTTATTTTTTATTGTCTGGTTAAGTGATATTTACAGACCTAGTGTAGCATTAATAATGTCCACCAAGTAGAGGATGAATACACCAGCTCCATAATTCCTTACCTGACTGTCACTGGTGTGAGTCAGGGTGGTTGGAGATGGGCCTGCAGGCTGGATGGGGACGCTCCCATTATTTTCCAGGCCTTCTGCTGAGTGCTGCTTCAACATGCAGAGTGCGTGGGCACTTCCCTTCCAACCTTTTGCTGGACAAGGATCCCCCGTGTTGGGTTGTAGCAGACACAGCTAGGGAAATGCAAGAACCAAAAATTCCAAAAACGCATTCGTAGCAGGGGAGATAGTTCCTCCAATAGAATGCTTGTCGTGTACACGTGAGGACCTGTGAAAATCTGGGCATGGTGGTATGTGCACTGGCTGAGCTGGCACAGGTGGATCCCTAGGACTTTGGTGGGCGGCTAGCCTGGCATGCCTGGTGAGCTCCAGGGCAATGAGAGACCCTATCTCAAAGAACAAGATGAACTCTGCTTGAGGCATGGTACCCAAGGTCAGCCTCTGGCCTCCCATTCGGGTGTTGTACATGTGCACGCACCCAGATGCAGAAAACACATGCACACAAACACTGAGGCCGCTCTCGTTCTTCACACCCACCTGGCCAGGGCTGAGTTTCTAGTACCCGTCGCGCATCATTTGGAGGAGACAAGCTAGCTTTCCAGTTCATCACATTTTTAACGTATCTACAAGGAAATGCCCAAGCCTGGAGTTAAATCATTTCCATAAACCTTGTTCATGCTTACCTGATGTTTCACTGAATGGGAGAAGAAAAAATCACGTCTGTAAATTTGGAGTATGTCTCAGTAAACCAGTCAAGTGCAGATAAGGCTCTCTGGGTCTCGTTGCTTTTTTGTCAATGGTCGTGGGAAGAGTTTGACTGTGCAGAGAATTGTCCAGCCCCTCGCGAGTGTGTGCAGTAGGGGCAGCTGTGCACCATGGGGGAGGTAGTTGTGATCTGATTTGTGCCCAAGGTCCTCTGGACACCAGAGGCCAAGCCACACGTGCGGTAACCGCAGGACGTATCTGAGCCCGGCTGTCGGGCATTCTGGTCTAGATCCTGATCCTGAGCTGTGACTCCCAGAGTCTGAGAGGGGACTAGTGAGTCTCAGAAACTGCCACACTGGTCCCGTTCAAGTCATGAAGAAGCATGCTGTGTGGTAGATCAAGAGAGCAAGGAACACAGCTTATCCAAAATTACAGGCTTCCTCCCGAGATGTGGATTCCCCATTAGCATACTTACTGGATAGAAAAAAAAAATTGTTTCTTCCCTTTTTATGACCTGCAGTTTATAAGATGTATTAGTAACTAAGCCACGCATACTTCTTCAGACTCTCCGCTCTTGGGAAGCTCTTGAGTTTATAGCAGGATAAGTACATGTTGAAATGTTCCCAACATTTCTGTCCTGCCTTCTTTTTAAGCTGGGTCCAACTCTGCCCCCGAACCCTAAATGGCCTTACGTGCCTCTTCCCTGACTGGCCACATGCTCCCAGCCCTAAGAGAGGATTCTTTTGTCCTTCTTTTTGGAGGTACGCGCAGACTGTCAGTCACGTAAAGACCAGATGTTGGACCGGCGCTTCCAGGTCTCCTGGTTGACAGCTTGGTGCCTCACTTGGCCCTCAGCCTTCCGCCCTCCCCCTTCACCGCATCCATCCCAGGTCCTGGACTCCTGTCTCTTTATGCAGTGAGACAGTTTTTCAGAAATTCTGTCCCTCCACTCGGGGAACAGAGAGCAACATTAACGCTTTGGCTCTTCTTCTTCTTCTTCACAGACAAGAGACGACTTCCTGGGTCAGGTGGACGTGCCTCTTAGTCACCTTCCGGTAAGGACAGTTCCAGGCTGTTGCATGCTGGGGGTGGGGGTTTTAGAGATTGCCAGCTGGGGTGTCTGTGGAGTATGACAGACATGACTAAGGGGTTGAAATGGGGAGTGTGTGCGCTGGCCGTGGCTCTTTGCTAGAAGGTGGCCCTCTGGACGGGTCACATAGAGGTTGACTTAACTGTACGACTCCCCCTGTCGGAATCACGTGAGCGCTCTTGTCAACATCTCTGCCTCGCTCCTCTTGCTCCTGGCTCTTCCACCTTTAGACTCTGCCCCTTAGGGTTCTCTTCTCCTGTCTCAAGCTTGGTTTTTGTTTCCATGTGGCCGTTGGTCTGGCTTGCTGTTCACTTCCCTTTGGATCAAATAACTGCGTCTGCACAGGCTGCTGTTTCCCAGGTTTTATGTTTACGGTTTTCCATCTGCTTGGAGATGGAAAAGAACCGTTGTTTCTGAGTGTGCTGGTCCACTGGAAATCCCACCCTCACCTCAGAATGTTCCAGGTTGACCTCTGCGGCTCTGCCTCCCTTCTTCCCTGCTCAGTGAGCAAACAGCGGGGGCTGTGGACTGGGCCTGCAGTTTGGGGGGTCACCTGCACACTGCATCAGTGTAAATAGGATGGGGAGACAAGAGCTGGAGGCCTTGGTGGCATCTCATATACCAGCTGCCATTTCTTGGATTGTCCTACCCTCCTCCTGGCCACCTTTCCCCAAACGGCTCAGAGTGTCAGAAGTAGCAGCTACGAGAGGAGAGTCAAATATTTCTGCCTTACAAGGGCATTGTGTTTTTCAGTCCTTGTGCAAGCATGTAGCATAAATAGTCTATAAACTAAAATGACTGGAGGGATCCAGGGCAAGCCTGCTGTGTGGAAACCAGGGCTGTTCCAATGGTGAGTGCCAGGGAAAACTCCTCCCAGGGAAGCTTTGAAGATGTGTTGAGAAGGAATAAAGTGGCAACCGACTTTTTTTTTTTCAAAGATTTTTTTTTTTCAACATGGGGGGGAGGAGGTATGAGTACATGCCCACAGAGGCCGAAACATGGAGGTGTCACATCCCTTGGAGCTGGAGCTGCGGGCCTTTGTGAGCCACCCCATGTGGATGCTGAGATACGGAGAGCAGGAAGCTCTCTGAACCACTGACCCATCCTCTCCAGCCCCAAACCTGGTGATGCTTTGCAGTTCTCACTGAGAGGCTGTGAGTGTCTCAGAAGCTGCAAGGAAAGGTGTCATAGTTAGGGTCACTGTTGCTACAGTGATACTTCGTGACCAAAGCAGCTTGGGGAGGAAAGGGTTTATTCGGCTTACGCTTTCATATCACTGTTTATCAAAGGAAGACAGAACAGTAACTCAGGCAAGGCAGGAACCTGGGGCCACCTAGAAGAGCTGCTTCCTGACTTGTGCCTCATGGCTTGCTCAGCCTGCTTCCTTATAGAACCCAGGACCACCAGCCCAGGGATGGCACCACCCACAATTGGCTGGGCCTCCCCCATCAATCCCTCATAAAGAAAATGTCCTCCAGGCTTGCCTGCAGCCCAATCATATGAAGGCATTTTCTCAGTTGAGGCACCCTCCTCTTGGATGACTCTAGCCTATGTCAAGTTGACAGAAAAGTAGCCAGGACACAAGGCTCAGGCATTCCTGACTCGGGATTTTTCCTGTCATGTTGATCAGTTAGCTACTTCTCATGTGGCTGTCCCTAGCCACTCTTTTCCCTAAAGTAAGAACCACATATTCTTCAGGGGAAAGTATTGGACTCATAAGTGAGAGTCTGGAGAGATGACTTAGTGGTTTAGAGCACTTCCTGGGCTCTAAATTGAACCCAGAACCCAGCACCCATGTCCAGTGGCTCACTGCTACCTATATATCCAGCTCCAAGGGTGCTGACATCTTCTGGGCTTTGTAGGCACTCACACACGTAGTGTACAGACACATTACACATACACTTAAGTTTGGTGGAGTTTGGTGGTCGGTTGGTCCGTTGGTTAGTTGTAACCTTAAAAAGAAATAAAGAGATGAAAAGAAACACGAACTGTAGTGGCACAAGTCTTTAACCCCAGCACTTAGGAGGCAGAGGCAGGCCATCTCTATGAGTTTGAGGCCAGCCAGGGCTCTGTGAGATCCCTATCTCAAAGGAAAAACAGAGCCATAAGTGAAAATTTCACCAACTTTGTCCAGGGTTCACTCGGTGTGTGTGATTTAGGGGTGGCTGGTTATTAAAGGTAGTATAGCTTCCAGTGAATGGAGGCGTGGTCTTTAGATACCAAGTCAGTACAGGGAATAATTGGACTTTGGAGTTTTGAGTGATGACCAGACTAAGCTTTCAAAGAAGTTGGTGCTACCAAGGCCCAACACTAGAATAGAAACAAGCTGATTAAGATCATTATATGATTGCAGTATATTACATGAATATATGAAAAGAGTGTAATGAAAGTCAATATTTCATACAATTAATATATACTAAGAAAAAATTTGAGACCCCATAGATAGGACATCCTTCTGGTTATGAAAATTTCCAGAGAGAATTCTATGTTATAGCACCATAAGCCCCTAGACCAGTGGTTCTCAACCTTCCTACTCCTGTGACCCTTTAGTACATACAGTCCCTCATGTGGTGGTGACCCCCAACCATAAAATTATTTTCATTGCTACTTCATAACTATAATTTTGCTACTGTTATGAATCTTAATGTAAGTATTTGTGTTTTCCAGAGGTTGTAGGTGACCCCCGTGAAGCAGTCATTCATCCCCCTAAAGGGTCACAACCCACAGGTTGAGAACCATGGCTGTAATGCAAATTGATTAGCAGTTTGAGCTAATTACCTTCCAGGAGACGGACCACAGTAGAAACTAAAGGGGGAAGCAGGTGAAGATCCATCTTGTGTTCCATGTCATAGTAAAAGCCAAGTGGTGTATTCTGCGTGTCCTTGGGCTTGGGACCCTGGATTTGAAGTCCTGTTGTTTGTGTGTTTGGCTGTATGTCATAGGACGCTTGTGGGGAAATTGCACAGATGTTCATTCTGTGTGGTAGTGAACAGTGTGAGAATGTGTTCGATCTGTTTTGTGGAGTACATAATGGATGTTCTGTGTTGACAGCTATGTAACCATTGTTATGCTGAGATTGTGTGTGGGCTACAGATCCAGTGTTTGTCAGACATATCCCATTTTAGGTGAAAGAAACAAAGAGGATGAAAAATGTTTCAGTTGTCCTTTGAATTATTAATAATGGAGAAGGTTGGGGCTGAGAGAGGGCTCAGTGGTTAAGAGTGTTTGCTGCTCTTGGGAAGGACCAGAAGTTGGGCTCCCAGCATCCACGTCAGATGTCTCACAACAGCCTAAAACTCCGGTGTGAGAGACTCAGACCCCTTCTAGCTTCTGTGAGTGCCCACCTGCGTGTGCGCGCATGTGCGCGCATGCGCACACACACACACACACACACACACACACACACACACACACTCATACACATAAGTAATTATAAAAAAATCTTTAAATAATGGGAAAGATCCAATGGAAAGCTAGAATGTGGGGAACAGTGGCGCTGCCAGCCACCCTCCTAGCCTTTTTAAAGGTTAAGGGACCTGATGAGTGTATCTGTGTGTGTGTGTGTGTGTGTGTGTGTGTGTGTGTGTGTGTGTGTGTGTGTATCTTAAGGTTTCTGTTGCTGCAACCAAACACCATGACCAAAGAGCAAGTTGGGGAGGAAAGGGTTTATTTGGCTCACACTTCAGCATTGCTGTTCATCACTGAAGGAAGTCAGGATAGGAGCTCACACAAGGCAGGATTCCAGAGGCAGGAGCTGATGCAGAGGCCGTGGAGGGGTGCTGCTTACTGGCTTGCTTCCCATGGCTTGCTCAGCCTGCTTTCTTAGAGAACCCAGGACCACCAGCCCAGGGATAGCACCACCCATAATGGGCTGGCCTCTCCCTCATTGATCATTAATTGAGAAATGCCTTATAGCTGGATCTCAAGGAGGGATTTCCTCAGCTGAGGCTCCTTCCTCTCTGATGACTCTAGCTTGTGTCAAGTTGACACACAAAACCACCCAGGACAGTGTGGTTACTCATTGATAATATAGCCCCATTAGCAGCTGGAGAATTCATTCCTTGAGGAAATAGTCACTGATAGATGGAATTCTGGTCTTTGTGGATGAGTCAGTGAAGCCAGTTCCTCCTCGTGGAACTCTGTGCTGGCATCGCTGCAGCCACGTGTGGTCCTTAAGCATTTGAAACACAGCTGCTGTGATGGCAGGGCCCATTTATAATTATTTGCCATTTTCATTAAGGTTTAAACGTAAGCCACGTTGGCAAAGAACTACTATTACCCGATGACCCCTCTGAAAACCAGACCAGAATTCCATGACTTGGGTCAGAAATGTGGTTTTCATTCTCCTTTTCCATAAATCATACTTTCAGACACTGGGGCAGCCATGGGCTGGGGATCCTGAACCCCACCAGACATCCTTGTGAGTTTCATTCCTTTCCTCCCACTTCACATCATTTCTCTGTAATTCTGCATGTAATTATACAAAGTATTTCATTTGGGTAATAGTAAAAGTCTCCAAAATTAAAATTATAGAAATAAAGATAAACTTTTTTCCAAATCAAAATTAACAGACAACTTAATCACCTATTCCTCCATGTTTTTATATAGATATATATATTCACTTTTTAAAGTATTATTATTATTATCTATTTTTTGTTGTGCCTGGTGCTGAATTATCCAAGGACCTTTTAATAAATTTATGGCCTTTATATTCTTCTCTCCACTCGTGTGTGTGTGTGTGTGTGTGTGTGTGTGTGTGTGTGTGTGCGCGCGCATGCCATGGCACTTGAGTGGAGGTCAGAGCATCGCCTACAGGAGCGGGTCTCTCTTTCTACTCTGTGGGTCCCAGGGATTGAACTCAGGCTTGGCAGTTCCTTCCACCCCCTGAGCCATCTTGCAGGCCCCATAAAGACATTTTTATACCCGTATATGATGTGATGCACTCGGTGCATACCCCTCCCCATA